CCATCGTTGTTGGTCGGGCCGTTAAGACCTAGCAGTTGAGAAACTCCTGTTTTGGCTTGACGAAGAGAGGCTGCATAACGGAATAGGCTTCTAGGGTTAGAGGCAAATTTGTCCATAAGCTTTGTCTGGTACTGAAGCCTGTCTTCTCTTATAGCCTTCGTGCATATGTTCCTTATATGTTTATATTGTCTATACGCTCCGTCGTTATCAGTTCGTTTGTACTCCGCCCAACAGTGCCTTTTGCGGCTTAGCAGGCGAAGGGTATGGTTCTTGATTACTGTAGGTGGCTTGCAGCTTTTGGGAACCGTTTGAGGAACTGAATGGTTTGTAGCTCATAAGAGCGTGTGCAGTAAGAAGTCCCAATGACCGTCCACGTCGAGTTGAGGGTGAACATCCCAAACCACCTGTTGTAGATAGTCATGTAGAGCTGGCACATTCAGCCGTTTAAAATTCCAACGCAAATTATTGTTGGGATATCTTAGCTTAGTTTTGCTGACAAAACTGAAGGCTATGACGGCATGATCGCTTTTTCCCAGGGGAGCCAGGATTGAGAGGTTGTCAACTAGGAATTCTTCGTTTGTGAATACACAGTCTAAGCGCGATGGTGCCTGACTGTTTCTCCAACGAGTTGCCGACCTCACATTTTCATATAAGCCCAAGTTATCGATGAGGTTGAAGAACCGAGCTTCAGTTGAGTTGTCGCCTCCAGTGTACGTGTGTTCCGCGAAGTTGACTCTATGGAGATTAAAGTCCCCTAGAATCAGGATGTGTGTGAAACCGAGACGGGTAGAGCGGGATAGTCCTCCCAGCATGCGACTATCGTACTCGATGTCAGCAGTTGGCTTCCTGTAAATGACTCCGACTAGACACCTCGAAGTACTAGACAATCTTACAGAACACCATATAGATTCCTCAAGATTGTTAAACTCCAGGTTATGAACTTAATGCACCTCCAAGCAAGAACGTATGTAAACAACTACTCCGCCTCCAAATCCTGATTATCTGTCATTGCGGAACAAAGACATACCAGGTAATGCTAACTCATGATCCGAGAATTGAGAAGATATCCAGGTTTCGGATATTCCTATTAGATGGGCCTTATTAGCGTTGCTAAGTTCACGTAATTCATCCAGTTTGTTTGGTAGACTCGCGGCGTTCATATATAAGCAGTTTATGCTTTCAATTTGGAACGCGTGAGCTTCATCCTGTTTTTCTGTATGAGCCTTACGTGAATGGACAGGTAGCCCACCTATATGAGGTTTGCCGAGGTGGTAGGCCCTGTCCTTTACACGTTTTTTTTATCATTTAGACAGTCCACAAGTGGAATGGTCAGCTCCAACTTGCTTTTGTGTTTGGTCCTAGCTTCATATGGCCTATCTGGGTGCATGTGGATTCCAGGTGGCAATCGACGTCTGTTGGCACGAAATGCTTCCAGAACGGCATGGCTCGGCCATGCAGGCGTGGTCCCTGCTGAATGTTATCTTATATCTTCTATTCATATTAAATATATTGTTCTTTCTCTAGCCTAACCTTGTTCTACATCACGTATTGGTAATTGATACGATACAGTGAGTTGGCATAGTCGATGGTGTGACTTCCACGTAAGATCTTATAGATTAGGCAGTTATATCATGACAAATCTACAAATTTAGGATTAGGTCTATTATTAGAGCAGCACTAATACCATAGTAGACCATAATTCTACATATTCAGCAATGAGCTGAACCGTGTAGCTATAGGCACTCAAAGCAATACTCCATCGTTGAAACATAGTGGATGGGGGACGATCTAAGGATTTTTCAGGGTGGTAAATGAACTTCAAAGGTTCATGATCAGTAGCCATAGTGAATTTCTTTCCGAAAAAATATTTATGAAATCTTTTGACGACCCAAAACACAGCTGATGCTCCTTGCTGAGTTTCTGAATAGCTTTGATCAGCAACAGTAAGTTTGTGTGAAATACAGATAAATTATCTACCTTCGTGCTCCAAAACTGCACCAATGTGCACAGGTGATGAATCAGTAATAAGTACAAAATATACACTGGGCCAGTAAGTTTGAAGAACAGAACCACGTTGAGGAAGCGTTATCAGACTTCATAAGCATGACTCTTGTTCCTCATCCTATTTGAATGAAATGGATGTCAAAGTGTAGTGTCGGTTATTATGTTAAGCCTGTATACCTTATTCTAACTTTCGAACAGCCCAATCTATTCGTTCTACTTGAGTCACATTTTGACCTTGTTAATAATTATCCGCTTAATAATCTTGACTGTTTTTATGTGAGTGCATATGTGTGTGTACACTTCTTATCCCATTCATCACATGTCTGTAAACTTTGAAAACTTTCACGTATATTTTATTTCATTTCTATTCATCTTAATAAATGACTCCTGCTTATGTTCGCATCTATAATTATTACTGTTATTAATATCATTATAGGTCCCCTCCCGACACATTAGATATTCTTTTAATCTCTTCCTATCCTTCTAAACATATTTAATTCCTGATTGTCCTTTGAAATTAATTGTGACTTTCATAGCATCATTCTTAATTATTATTGCACAAATTTTTATACTAATATCCGGTTTTACTCTGTATATTATTACATAAATCTACATGTATTTACCCGAGTGCACTAAAGGATTTATTTGTCTTCGGCTAAAAAGCACTCATATACAATAAATTTACAGCTTTGGAGCATAGACTTGGTTTGTATCACCTATTATTGTAAATCTATTTTATATCCCATTTTGGTAAATTACGTTGAGGTATGAAAGAGCTATTTGACTGTCTTTCTTTTCGTAGTATTAAATCAGCCTTACAACTGTTACTAGTTTGTCATAAACTGTTATAATTCTCTCTTATTACAACCCAGCTATCCCTATTGCTTAGTATTCTTGGACACCAGTTCACTCGACAGGTCCCCAAATCAGAACGCGGTCGAACAGGAAAGAGATTTTATTCCAAATTACAAGGGTAGATGGAAGTAAGAAGCATGGTAGGAAAAACGCTAGTATATTTATAGTTTTTGCATGAGATTCTAGGGTGTTCCCAAAGTATCGACTAGCGCTGACTGGCTAAGAATTGACCAATCAGGGTGCACCAACTCAATCATGCATTGAGCATGCTCTAACCCAATCTATGTCCCACTATTACAAACTTGACAAAAGGTCCCCCAAGAAAACGAACTTCCCTTAACAATTTAACTTGTGGGATTCCTGTTTCGTTTGTTGACACGGTTTTGATAAATATTGGTCTGCGTTTTGCATTTTCTGGTTGCGTTGGGATTCAGTTTTGATTGCCAATTTTACTGCCTATGATTCAGTTTGCTGATCAGGAGGCATCGTTTGCGAAGACGACGATTTCAATCCACTCATATTGATGAGGAGAAACATTTGTTTGTTTGGGGTTCTTCATTGTTAGGGTCGAGTCAGCCACTCATATATACTGAGATTGTTTTCCTGCGCTTGCTACTGCCCAGGCTCATGTTACAAAATTTATATCGGGATTGATTTTCTACCAAGATAGCCTTTAATATCCTCTTGTCCTATCAAGTACCAAGCGCCTTCTTGTGGTTGCGTCAAATACGAGAATAGATTTTGAATATGTATATTTCGTGCACTCATTGATTTAAACAGACGAAGAAGGAATCTAAGCGAGGGAAGCGAAACGAAATGACGTGCAGTGAAGAAGGAGGGTGAGCTAACTCGATTTAATCAAGCGTTACTCAATATTTATATATATTTATAGACAAAAGTAAATTCGACACATGACGAATAGGGTAAGTAACTAGTGCATGTATGGTCGAACAAAAACAGTCAGAGTTAATAAGCAAATAAGTGACAAGGTTGAACTGTAGATTGAGATGAGTGAATAGATCTCTCTGTCCAGAAGCTAGAATAATCTATATGGGCCTGAATTAGTATCGGACACTACGAACCTCCTCTTGGTATACCTTGTCTTAAAATATTTGACTAGTCTCCCTAGGCGTACGTTGGCAACCGACTATCCAAATATAAATGACACAACTGTAACCTAATTCTTGACATTCTCCTTTTCATTTTCACTCTTTGACGATATAGTGCACCAGAATTTTCTGAAAATATTACCAGACATTCTAACGCAAATCTTCTGTATAAGACTGAATACTTCCTTTACATCACTCCGTATTACTAAACCTTGAGTTATATGTGATTGCTCTGAGGACAGCTAGTAAATCGTCTTATAAAATAGTAGAGACGCAAGCCACGAGTTTTTCTCCTTGATTGAATCATAACTAATACCAGTTCTGTTATTAAAAATAAGTCAAAGGTTTAAAATGTCGGTGTCGTGTTGCTTCATTCTGCTCAGATTGCAGCTGAGAGAATGACTCATTCATTGATGAAATAATAGTCTCCAACTTATACACGTTATTAAGAAAGTATAAAAACACCTAAATCTTTTAGAAGCCATCTCGAACCAGATGCTTATAGATTTGAGGTTTTCAAAATTCTCTTCACAGCTCCTCATTGACTTGTACTGCCTCAAAACATTTTCCATCAGAGTGAATGCTTCAGATTACTTTGTACAATGAACATGGGCTGTTCCTTGTACTCGAACGACATATATAAGCCTAGTGGACCATTTTTAACGAAGTTGACAGTCATAGTCGTAATGAAATTTCATGTTAGTAGAAACAGAAGAGTGGGATAGTACAGCTATCGAGCAGATGGCTGAATCATTTCACAATAGATATCATTTATCATGACATTACGGGGATAGTTAACTGTGAAACGTCAGACAAGTGCATCACTTAAGACTGTATAGTTTATCATCACTCCCTAGATATTTTATTTAGTGGACTTATTAACCACTTTAGTATCATCTAGCACTTGGTATGTGTCAGAAAATACTTCCAGTACATTAAGATCTTTTCATAACCATGCTTTTAAAATTTTTAAGATTTTAGTTCTGTGTGTGTAGTTTTACTGAATCTTTGTACTTATTCAAAGCTGATTTTGTTTCATCAGCTGATGTCAGCATACATTTTGACAGCGCGAGCTTATGAAGCTTTGACAACTGGTTGGATGTCAAATTCATACATTGCTTGTATTGACTTTGTGCTCGCTTTTGCTGTTTTTGGTTTCAATACCAAATTTGACGTTCTGAATATTTAAAGATTCAAATTTTCGCAGAATACGGGGGCGGGAACGCAATATTATTTCATTTGAACCAACTAACAACGATGTGGGATGACGTCAGCTACATCGGATAGTGATTTAGTTTTACCCGGACACGTAATTAAAGAGAAATGGCGTATTATCAAAAAGATTGGAGGTGGCGGTTTTGGAGAGATATACGAAGCTCAAGAAGTCAGTTCACAAGAAAAAGTAGCTTTAAAGTTGGAATCAGCACGACAACCCAAGCAAGTTCTAAAAATGGAGGTCGCAGTCTTAAGGAAACTACAGGGCAAAGAACATGTGTGCAAATTTTTGGGTTGTGGAAGGAATGACCGTTATAGTTATGTCGTAATGTCACTTCAAGTAAGTCTCTTACTTACGCTATTATTTTCTTGAAATTATGTGCTACTGGCTAGAGATGATTGCATGGTTGTATAAGTTGTTCGCAAAAAGTGTTCTTTTACACTAGTACTATTCACTGGTATGATTTCGTTTCATCTAGGTTCACATGATCGGTATTACAGCTACCATGTCGTTTTCTCACTTTTCATAGATTTATTGATCTGATGCCATTCATATAGTAAACATCAGTCAAATACGCTTTCGAAAGTCCCTTTGGAAGTGGGCCTAGGCAAATGTTTTGAAATGCTAGTCTTCGGAAGAAATCAATCTAACATTCCCATTTGGATTTCAATTGACGTTGTGTGGACGGTTTACTTAGTTTCTCTGTAGCTGTTGGTATAAATATATGCTTAGGGTCATGCAGTGTCTTTTCCTTGATTTCGCATCAGTATTGATGTTTAGGAAGTACTTTTAAAATTTATTTTTGTCTCATTAATCCGCATAAATTTACTATTAAAAGACTGCAGTGTGAACCGTTATATATTTATGAGGTTTTTGGTTTTTCTAAAGTAGTAATTTTAATACCACTCTGTATACGTTTTATCAGATTTCACTAAAACTGAGATTCTTCAACTTCTGAAACTATTCACAACCTGTTTTGTGGTGAAAAGCGTCTGCCTGTCTTTACGGTAGTCTTGGTACTTGAGTCAAATATAGTATAGTAGTTTCTTATCTATTTCACGAATGATCAGGAGTTAGGATATTGTTTAAAATTGTATGTAAAGAGGTTTGGTGCACAGTAGTAATCTTACATGCTGGTCGAACAAAATTTTCATTTTACGCAAAGAAATTATTTGGACTATTAGCCCGTCTTTATTTAAACCTTAGATGAGCACTTTGAATTAAGAACAGATGCACACGATGTAGACTTTGAATCAGATCATAAAACTGATGGAACTTAACAAGAAATATATTTTTTATAATATATTTGTCTTATTACTAGATTCCCTTAACAACTTAGTGGCATATCTTAGCACTACATTCTAAAGTGATCACCTAAGCTTTTGTCGTTATCCCAAGACCAGTCAGTCGGTTACGTGGGACCAGGTACATATGTACATCAGTCCAAGTTGCCATACCTCATTAGCACAACAAGATGAACACGGGATTCATAGAAGTAGTTAATTCAGTGGTGGTAATATATAAAAGAAAGATTGCATATAAGGACATAGTACAGGAAGAAGGAATTAGTTCATAGAAAGATAGATATGAAGTGGTTTTAATCCCATAGTTTAAGAGAAGACAGAGTGTAGACCAACTTAAAACTGATTGTAGTATGGTGTCAAGCTAAACAAAGTATTGGTTTAAGGTACTACCCCTCACTGAAGAAAATAAAGTTGACTTGCAATGTAGAAGACAAACTTGTGTATTCAAGAATTAATTTTTTGTTTCCCGACTTTGATATTACTAGATGTTCATTTATTTACTTATTTATTTGAACGCAAATATTGGCATAAAGGGGCACCGGATACATATGCACCATACGTCACTTGATTTGTGTGTGGACTGTGATACTCAGGTGCCCAGACCGAGACAGGTGGTGTACTTCGGGGACCACGCTCGGAGCCTTCGACCTAAAGGTCTGATCCAAAAAGCAGTGGAGCAATGTTAGGCGATGCAGTCCCATGGTAGTCAGTGACCAATGATTGATTCACACGTCATTTGTTCCCTCAGGATCGGCCACCTAAACGACTCTCTTCTGTACCTAGACACCCGATCCGAGCATTCAAGTCTCTGGCTGGTACTACAATATCTGTCGAACGCACTTTCTGGAGAAGAACAGATAACTGGTGGTCAAATTCATCCTTGATCGTACCTGGACTGCAATCTGTTGGAGCATAGGTGGAGATGATGAAAAGAAATCGCTTCTCACATCGATTTCTCCTTACTTTGATGGAACTTTCTAATCTAACAGTACAACCGACTGTTAATGGGGATCCGGTCGATTGGCGCTGCCTCAGCTCTAGCGCTTGGTGCAACACTAACACCAGCAAAACCGGACGAACATACCACAGGGTCCCCGGATAGGCGCACGTGAAACAAGCCTTTTGAAGCGACAGATGGAGAGCAAATTCGTAGTACTTCACTAAAGTCTTGAATACGGGTTTCGGATAGACAAAAAACGTTGATATTAAGACTTTCTAAAGACATAGCCAGCCCTATCTGTTGTCCGATGTGCATTGGTGTGCGAACGTTGAAGGGAGCTAGCTTGAATGGTGTACGTGGTTTCAGAAAACTGTTTCAGTTTTCGTATTTGGTGGTAGCATTCAACTTTCGACCAGGCAGTGACTCGAGAACGTTTAGATAGAATAGAGTTTCCATCATGGGCGATCTGCACCATGAGTTGAGAAACAGGGATACATGAAGCGAGAACAGAGGTAGGTAAATGATGTAGTATATAGAAAAGTAATAATAATAAAAATGAGTGCTATCAAGTGAAAGTGAAATGTCTGAGTTCTGATCGAAGCGAGCGTAGTATTCTGCCCTCCATGGCCTGTGACGACTGAGTCCGCAAGGAACTCCAACTCTTGAAACGCTACAAATCACCTGGCCCAGATGACTTACCTCTGGCTCTTTTTAAAGATGGTGTTGACTTTCTGACTAAGGAACTGACGACGTTGTTTACAAAGGTTTGGGAGCTAGAGAGTGTACCAACATCATGGAATGAATCGATAGTTGTCCCTATCTTTAAAAAGGGTTCACTTCGTTCCTGTAACAACTATCGGGGGATAAGTCTACTTCCGATTGCGTCCAAGCTATTGGCTTCCGTCATACTTCGTAGGTTGTTCAAAACCCGAGAAAGATTGACTCGCGAGGAGCAGGCTGCGTTTCGTTCTGGTAGAGGATGTATTGATCATATCGTCACCCTCCGCCAAATTTTAGGACACCGCCATACTTTTCAAAGGTTAACAATCGTAGTGTTTCATACACATAGTTCCCTTTATCATTTTGAAAAGAGCAAGAACAAACATTCTAGCAGAATAGCATGAATTCATTTTTATTTCGTTGGTTCTCGTCAGCTGCTTACAACCTGTGTTTCTTGACACCAGGGCTGCCTTCGATTCGTTGGACAGGACTGTTCTCTGGGATTGTCTAATGAAGAAGGGTGTGCCTGAAAAGTTTATTAACATCCTAAAAGCCCCACATACAAACACCTCAGGCAGAGTGAGGGCATACAACCACCTTTCTCCATTGTTCCATTCGAGCAGTGGGGTTAGGCAGGGTTGCCCAATCTCACCATTCCTCTTCAACTTTGCCATCGATGACATTCTGGAAACAGCTCTGATGAATGTAAGTAATGGTGGTGTGGATCTGTTGCCTGGAGAAAGACTTCTCGACCTTGAGTATGCGGACGATATTGTCTTACTGCACGATAATGCCCAAGCCATGCAATCCTCACTTAATCAGTTTGCAATCAGTGTCCGTAGGTATGGTATGTGCTTTGCACCTTCGAAGTGCAAAGTACTTCTACAAGACTGGCAGGATTCCAATCCTGTACTCACCCTGGATGGTAAGCAGATAGACGTAGTCGAGAAGTTCGTGTATCTTATCTAGGTAGCTGCATAAGTGCTGGTGGGGGTGTGAGTGATGAGATCAATGCACGTATAGTGCAAGCCAGAACGGCGTATGCCAATCTGGGCCACCTTTGGTGCCTTCGTGATGTTAGTCTGGTTGTAAAAGGTCGGATCTACAACGCGTCGGTGAGAGCAGTTTTGCTCTAAGCTTGTGAAACCTGGCCTCTCCGAGTTGAGGACGTTAGACGACTCTCTGTGTTCGATCATCGCTGTCTCCGAAGGATTGCTGACATCCAGTGGCAACACCATGTCAGTAATGCAGAGGTTCGGCATCGTGTGTTCGGGCACAGAGACGATAATCCAATTGGTGTCACAGTCTTGAAACATCGACTTCGGTGGCTTGGACATGTTCCACGAACGTCGTCTCAGAGAATTCCACGTCATGCATTATTTGCCGACTCTGGAACTGGTTGGAAAAAGCGGAGAGGTGGTCAGTATATGACATGGTGTCGTGGCATGAAAGAAAGCTGCAAAGGACTGGCTTCTGTTGGTCCTTCACGACTCCCTGGTTGGGGTCCGAGAGATGTTGCGACACAGTGGCTAGAGACGTTATCAGATATGGCTCAAAATAGAAACCAATGGCGATCCTGTTGTGACCTTCTTTTACTTTCTTCGTAAAAAGTGACCGTAACTGCTTTAACTGAAAAATTCTTTCTGGTTGTTCCTTTCGATCTCCCCCATTATTATTATTATTATTATTAATTACACTACCTTACAGTAATCTGTTCGTTATTGTTTATTTGGTGCCTCTTTGTACCAATATCTATGTGCTCAAATAATAATAATAATAATAATAATAATAATAATAATAATAATAATAATAAACTGTCATATCCGTTCCGCTAAACAAATCCCATAATTTAGTAATTTGAGTCACCTATTACCACAAACTTGACGTTTTCCATTGTCACCAAAATCAATTCAGTGTTTTATTTAAATGACTTATTTTTATTATATCATACGTACAGCGTCTTTCATAAGAATACCTCATTCGCTACTAGTTTGTTCATTAACAGCAAAATATCTACTGTCGTTCGGGGTCTACATATCCATTTAATAATACTCTAGTTTTTTCAAGGTGTACAGTTGCAGAAGAGTAAATTATTAAGTTCTTTTAATAACTATCCACGCTTTTTATTCTATTTGGTGAATTTCGATATTTTTTCTCGCTCGTTAAGGGTTTATTAGAGGTGGATTGGTTTAATGGTTCCTGAAATGACTTGAAATTTCCTGATCATATTACCACTAATAATTAGATTGGGTTATAGTGTAAAAACGTTTCTCCTGAGGTTGTTTATTTGTATTATACTTGATATTGAGCCAAGTATTATACTATTTTCCGATAATTTATTCACTTTTTCTTTACTAAGCTGTTTGTGTGAACTG